GCCCTCTGCACAAAAGGCTTCCCCTGGGTCCACCTCAGAAGGCCGGCCCTCTGCATAAAAGGCTTCCCCTGGGTCCAACCTCCTGCTGCAAACTGTTTCCACAGTGCCTGTTTTAAAACTAACAAATCCTTTTAACAGTTTTGAATTGTATCTAGAATAGGACTGATTAAACTGATCCAAAGACTATCTACACAAATCAACCTGTATCTCATATAAGGATTTATTTAAACTACTAAAATGTAACTTGATCTTTGCACAGAAATTCTGGTGTCCCACAGGCCTCAATTATATAGTAACACTCCTTAAAACCTAATAAAGCTTTCAAAAGGTCTAACATCTCTATTATTACTACTATTATTCGTGGTGAATATGCATGGTGATTTCTGTATTACTATTGCATTTATGATACACTAACCAGCTGACTGTGAAATCCTGCTTCGTGGAAAACACCCAAGGTTTAGTTATTACCTTATTACCTTGTTTTACCTTAGTACCTTCCAAAGTTTGCCTCATTGTAATCACCTGCACCTGTTTCCTGTTTCCCCTAACCCTAGTATTTGTGTAATTCATAATGATTCTCACCTTTCCCTTGTTTAGCCTTTGTGTTTGTGCGTAAATGTGCCTGGTCTTATGCTAGTCTCCTGTTGGTCTTTGTAAGTGCTGTGTGTTTTTACGCTTATGGAGTGCTGGCAGTCCCTGTTGTTGTTCCTCGTTGCTGTTTCTCCTGTTGCTGTTTCCCCTGTTGCCAGTTTCCCCAGTGTTTTCCTGACTGTTGATTAGCCCTTTCTCCTTCTTGTTTATCCATCGTTTCCACCTTAGTTCTCACCCCTTGTGGTTCTTTTGGTTTTGGTTCAGTGTGTTATCAGTCCTCGCTGGTGTCTGACAGCCACTTCCTGCACCGTCACTCCCTCCCTATGTCCCAATGTGACCGTCAGTATTGCATAATGTTTATTGCAGTTTTATTTTGTACTGCATAAAATTTATCGTGATTTTATTTTGCATTGCTTTACAATGAACTTGCAAAGATTTAGAAAATGTTAAATACCAGCATGAGATTTTTTTAATGAACATTTCTAAGGGGTACATCATCGCATTGTCTTCCTGTGATCAATCTAAAAACATAGCGGTAGCCAGAAATACATTTTAGGGGATCCCTCTGGGCAAATTTCACGAACCGCAAGCAAATTTTTAATTTTTTTTTTTTGGGGGGGGGGGGGCGTGATATTACATGGCT